TGCTCGGAGGACTTAGGGTGCAAAAAAACACAAATTTCGTCTCTATGTGTATAGATAGAAAGTTCATAATTCATACTATGTAAATCAGACAATTTTCTGTTTTGTTTCAGTGGTCAAAGTCACTGGTTTGCAAAGAGATCTTGATGTCTTTAGACTAAAGGTATTGCTCCAAGCAGTAATGGAATGTTTTAAAACTATTTTAAGTTAGTTAGAAAGCCAGGTAAATTATAGTGGTTTTGGGATGTTTTATTCTAGTGACTGATAGATACCTTGTGCTATAAAATGCAATTTGGAAGCAGCATTAATTGTTTTTTGGACAACCAACAGAGTGAGAAAAAATTTGTCTTACTAAACCATGCATCCAAATGTAAAAGTTCTCAAGGGCTTTTTATTTATTAGAAACTTATTAGGTTAGATAAGAAAAAACTTCTCATCTCTCTTCAAAGAATGCAAGCAGGTTGCTGTTGTATGACATACCTTGATAATTTGTTTACCTTATTATCTCACTGGATTTGTTGCACTAGTTAGAAGTAGTTCAAAGATCAATAAAATTAAATTAAAAGAGTTGTGAAAAGGTTAGAGGCCTGAAGATGTTAGGATAAATAATTGTAATTGTCTGTTAGAATCTGCAATCATAATAGAAACAAAAAAAAGGTATTTTTTTTATTTTATTTCAAATTTTTCATTTTTTTAAATATACTATACCTTTTTAGTTTTACTGTATTTAGTGTTAGGGTAGAGAAAATAAAAGATAAAGCAGAAAATTAAAAAAAAATAATCGATATTAATATAAGTGGCACAAGAAGTCATGAAAATGATATATGGTAAATGTAAGATAAAAAGAAATATTTTTATTGTTAGCAGGCAAATCATCTTTCACTCAGACTGACCCAGAAAAGGCTTTATAAATTTACAGGTAAATCTTTAACAAAAATACTTCATTAAAACAAAAAACTAATCTTTTGTATTTTTTTTTTGTTAATGTTGGGGCATTAGTGGATAGAATTACAAATGTCTGTGGAAATATAGATAGCTACTATTAAGGAAATGCTACACACACTGATAGTCTCTATGTAGATCATAGATGTCGCTGGTTTGCAAAGAGAAAGCTATTTGTCTTTTATTAAGAATATAGTTTTATAGAATTATAGTAATGACATGTATAGCTATATAACTGTCTTTACAATATAATGCTGGAATAGACAGATATTTGATATTTTTATGCTCGTTGGGTAGAGAATTAGTAACTTCTAATCATCTAACAAAGAAAAAACAAATGCCATGTTTCATAAGTTTCATTTTAAGGTTTAAACGTTTATTTTGTTTTAAATATAAAGTTACACATAGTCACACCTATGTTGTTTATATTACAAAAGACTTCTCAGAAGATCTAACATAAAAAGAATGGCTTTGCAATGAAAAAAAATGTTTTTACATAATTTATATCATTCTCAGTATTAGTGTGTTAAAAATTACAGTCAAGCTTTCGGTTTATAATAAATACCAGAGATAGAAAGAATGAAATAAAATTACATTCACTTAATCCTTTCATCTAATTTGTTGACCCTCATTCAAAACTTAATTGAACTACTACTTCATGAATTTATGTCAAAAAGTTTGGTATCAAACTGCAGATTATAATTCAAATTTTAGTACTATATATTACTCAATTTCTTAATTTAAAAGTAAATATTAAAACACACAGATAAACCTCAATTTTTGTGTCACATGGTATGTTGAATGCAGCACTGATTCAAATTAGATGTTTGTGAAGTCAAAATACTATGTCTATTCGATGATGAGGAACCCACTTTGAGACTAATAATGGCTGGAGACGGCTAGAATGGGTAATGAAGAAAAACTTTAATATAAGTTTAACATAACAACAAATGTACAATATTTCGACAAGGTTTTGTCATCATCATTGTCTCCAGCCATTATTATACTATGTCTATAGTTTCGTACAAATTAGAAACTCAAATTAACAATATTGAGAAGCTAGAATATAAAATAAGAACCTATTATATTTTCTATTTGCTAAGATATTGCTCATGTAATAAATAAAACACAGTGGAACCCCACCCACCTCTTTCCATTTTTGGAAATGCTCCCTTATATACACTTACTTGTATATATGACATGAATAACCAATCCGAAGCTCAGAATATCCCCCTAGTGGCTTTCTCAGCCATTTTAATAGGCTTGGATGCCATTTCTTTCTTTTGAACCAAGATTTCAAGCAGGTAAGGGTGTGTCTTTAGTCTGCTCGAAATTTAATATTTTTTTAAGCCTAAAACACATCTTAGTTACTAAGCTTGATAACTTATAGTGGAATTCTATGGTATTGATGTAGTAACTTATGATTTTTTAGTTAGTCAAATGTATATACATAACCTTAAAAAACATTTTGTTTCATATCCTCCATGTGCAAAATTTTAAAAGGCTTAGCAACCTACATCATGCAGCAACCAAATACAAACATCATAACTAGAAGAGATAATTGTTTGCTTTACTTCTACATTTACTGTTCTATGTTTTAAGAAAAATAAGTTTAAGAACTTATTTCAAAATAGCAATAATCTTTATGCATATATAATGTATAATAATTGAAATGTGACTGTATTTTACAAAATACTAGTCTATTAAAACACAGCCAAGACAAGTTACTTTGTACAGACCAAAGGTCAGATTTATGTTACTTGATACGGTAACATGAGAGCACGTGTGCCACGACATTGTAACTTCTGTATTGTTAGCCAGCCACGGCTTAAAGGTCAATATAATAAAAATAATAAATATATATAAATACATAACGTTATGAGATTTAAGCTATTTAGTCTAAACATTTATGTTTTCGTGTTATAATCTGTGTTCATTCTAGAAGGAAAGAGGTATAATTTATATTTATTTCCTAATTTTTATGGTGGTTACATGATCGGTCAAATCTACAGAGATTCATCACTGAAAATAACAGATAAGATATAGTTTT